GGAATGCTGAAGTAACATACGGAAGCCATAACTTCAAGTGCACAAATAATCCTTTGCTTGTCCAAAAGGCTAAAAATCCACTCATCTCTCAGACTGAATGATGAAAAATGCAACACACCAAGCAGGATGTTAAATACTGCAGGAAAATGTTTTAGTGGCCACTACGTCAATCAACACTGTTAGCATTAAGTTAGCCACAATCCAGGTCTCTCTAACTCAGTCACACTCAACAGCTATGCAACATGGTCTCATAAAATAGACTTGTGTGTTGAGGGAAGAGAATAAAGCAGTATAAAGTCATTCTCCATTCTAAATCCATCAGTAGGATGTGATGTCTCTCTAGTGACTAAAACAACAAAACCAAACCCCAACAACTTTGAAAGCTACTAGAGGTCATTACAAAGTTTCCATTATACATAATTTTTATGGTATATGTCTCATAAAAATCAGGGGAAGCATCTGAAATCAATGTGTTCAAAGCTCAGAGAGAATGTCTGCTGCTGGATCAGAGCCCTGCTAATGGTATGGGGGAGATGACAGGGGACAATATGACAACAGGGGCAGCTTCAGGCCCTGGAAAACAAGGCAGGATTTTAAGTTCTATTTCCCAATTTCAGACTGTTCAATGACACCAGGAAGTGGAGTGCATGGGTGGGATATGTGGTAAGAGATCTTAAAACCCTGTTAAGTACAAACCCAGAACCCCACAGGATAGATCAGTATTTTCATATGAGAGAGACAGATACCCTGCACATAGATGATAGATGGAAACGAGAAACTTGCACAGAAGAGATTCTGCAAGGTCCTCTCCCTTTTCTGACAGGACCAAGGAATACATTAACCATGAAGTCTGAAAGCAGAATCACTCACCTAATGCTGTCACCACCACACTGACTGGTGCAGATGTCCTCTCCACCACTTTATGCCAGCTCCCATCGTGCAGTGGTACCCAGACAGCTGCTTGGCAGAAGTAATAGCCAGAGTCTTCCACATCCACATCACGCACCAACAGGCGATAGGAGTTCCTATCTACATGGCTCAGGCTGATGAGAGTTGAATCACTGACAACAGAATCATGGTCCATGCTCAGCAAAACCTGAGCATCTGTCAAGGTATCATCAGGTGATGCAGAAAAATACCATATCACCTCCGCTTGGAAAACACCACTCCTGTCTGTTGTGATGTTGCATGTAAGATCCAGGGAGTCTCTTTCAGTCACAGACACGTTGCTTGTTGAGATGACCACATCTAGAGCTTACAAACGAAGAGACAAAAATTCAAACAACAATTGTTTATTTTTTTTAAACAAATCCACTGTAAGTTATCCAGGACTTCACATTCTATCACAGAACCTTCTGAAGTAGCTCAGTAGCCCTACCTTCAAATGCCTGTTGGATATTGAGCTGCATGATCTATTACAAGGGAAGTACACATTACCAGTCAAGCAACAGATGCGTGATGAGGGTGGGGGGAGGAAGGAAAGGAGAATGGGGTTTTTATAACTCAACAGCAACTGGTCCATGAAGGCTTCATCCCAGCCACAAACCTCACATCACCTTTGCCCTGCAGGAAAATGTGTACAGGATTTTCCCTTATCACCGGAGGGCCAAGGTGTTTTGGGATGATCTCTCAGAAAACAAAGTGGCCACTGAAATCACTAGGAGTTACACTAGAACTCAACTTCGTTTTTGCTGAAATGGTTCTGAGCTCCTTCAACAGAACAGATGTAGATGAGAAGCTGCAACAGCCACGTTGGGAGTCCTGACCAATCTCAGATGTGTTGCAGGAACATGAAATGGAAGCAAAGAGAAGGCAGCAGTAACTCCTTATACTGCTGACTCCTCCACTTACTGGTCTGACCAACACACACTGAGGACTTTAAAACAATGCAAATAGCCACTTCAAACACATTCAAAAAACTCCTTCACGGGCCAGTGAATATTTTTAATATACATAGCACATATGGTCATAGCCATCGTTCAAACAGGACCTTCTGCATTCTTCAGGTTTAACAGAGCCACAGCTCTGTTAAAAGAAAGCCATGGGATGAAAGTGTCAAGACCAAGAGTAGAAAAGCTGGCCTTAGTTACTGGTGACAGGTGAAGGAGAGGTGCTGTGAGTGTTGTTTGTAAACCTCAGTGCAAATCATTCACCGAGTTACCTGGCAACCACGTCTTCACTTGCTCATTCCCTCATTCTATATTACCTAAAGATTAGATTTGGATCTCAGAGCAGCACCAGTGTGTAATGCAGCTGCTCTTGAAGTCTCAATGGCAGCCAGCAGACAGGGCTGCTACAGCAGTTGCTCTTCTCAGCAGATCTATGATCAAGACCACGAGCAAGAATACAGATTCTTGCCTTAAACAGGCAGCTATGCCTCTGATGCAGCTTAGTGACTTCTTTGTAAAACCATGTTCTACTACATAATGGGTACCCACCTGTAAAAGCTTTCTAGGATTATCATCAGGAATTAGAGACAACACATAAAGGCCAGAGCCAAACTGAGCAGCCACAACTATGCCCAACAAAACCAAGCAACTCACCTCACCACTCACCACCTGATAGCACAGAGCAGTCAAACTGAGCAGCGGGTAGCAGGCCCCACCCAAGTGGTAAAGCAAAGGCCCCTGTCTGATGAGTACCTAATTGGGACTTCCCTCACTGTACTGTCATGGAATTGGAATCAGGAGGAAACTCTAGTTAATTTAACAGACTAATATCAGAATACAAAATAAGACTCATCTACAAGGTTAAGAGCAGAATTTCTCCAAGGAACACTACTGTCTTCATGAAGCAGTGACAGGCATTCAGAACCTGGCAGTATATGCATACAAAGGGACTCTAAGAGAATTTACCCATATGTATATTCCAAATGCTTCTTTTTTTGTTACAGATGTGTCTGAAGTCCTCACTTAGCATCATATACCTGTTGTGCAAAGCCATATTAAAAAAAGACACATGAGAACAAAGTTGGGCCCAAAGATGTCATGATTCTAGGAGAAGAAAGAGATGGACAAGTAGACAGAAGAGCAATGACAGAAAAAACACAGTTACACAAGTAACCCATGCATGATGTTTTTCATTAGATTCTAATTTTTTTTTTTAATTTTGTTTCTACAAATTCAACCCCACCAGCAGGTAAGAATGAGGCAAGTGCAGCAACCAGGCGTACCATTTACAACTCAAGTTCATTTTAGCATGCAAGTGCAGAAGTTTCATATGTCAGCATAAGATGGTCTTCAAATCCTACTGGAGGATGTGTGGATAAAAATTTCCACAACATTTTGCTGGAGAATAACCTATCCCATTTAGCATAACTTTAAAAAAAAAACCTTCATGACGCTGACAAAGTGTCAGTGCTGCCAATGACTGAGCTAAAAATGAAGGCCAAAAAGCCCTTAACAAACAAAAATAAAACCCCAAACCAACAAATAAAAAAACCACAAACAAAACCGCACACCCAAACCACATTAAAGAACTGCACTACTACTGGTCCTGGCCATCCTCACCTTATTTTCAGCCACTGATTAAACCCCACCTACTTAAACCAAACTCTTCAAAAATGTGACAAAACAGAGAATTACAGCTCTTAATTAAGCAAACCCTGCTTCAGCAGAGACCACCTGCAAGCTTTACCGTGTAACAGACACCCTGAAAAAAAAAGGGGGCTGTCCAATTTCACAGGCTAAGTACCACCAGGATACTAAAACTATATCCAAATGAGCTAGCCAAAAACCCCAGCAGTTCTGGGTTCTCCCTATAGTGATGAAAGGATTACAAAAATTAATAGATACCCTTACTGTCTGAACAATTATAAAATACCATCATAATCTCACGTTTCTGAGGGACCATCATTGCCTGGCTTTCCACCTATTGAGTGACAAGATGCATCACCCCCCACTTTCCCTTCTCCAACTAGCAGTGGTAATGCTAATGCAATTAAGCGTTTAGTACATCTACTCCTGAAATCTATATGGGCAGGGATATGTGGATATCCTCAGCACAGCACTGTATGTATTTTTGTCTCCTTAGTCAAGCATGCAATGATGTGTTTAACAGAACCATTACTGTGCTAGACCCCTGCCAACATGGCGGAGCAATCACACCAGTGATCCAGCATCAGTGATAAAAATGGATGATTTGTGCTGTTAAAATTATCACTGCCTTCCTCCTTTCTCTTGATCTTTCTATGCTGTTTTAATAACATACATTAAAGCTTCACATCTGTCACTGAATCACAAGCCACTTTTACAGGGGAAGTGCATCTGTTTAGTGCTACGGGACAACACTATGTCAATGAGAGAGCAGAGGGAAGGCTTGGGGTGATCAGGGGTTAATTTAAGAAATATAATATCCTGAAGCAATCTGAAGTGAACTAAAAACAAGATAAAAATCTAAGTCTAAGCATCTAAGAGGTTCCAGTCAATCCTTCCATACCATCATCCCAAAATAAAAGCTAGAAAAATTATGACAAGCATTTTCTGTTGACTCAGACGTAAAAAGACCGGCTATCCAAACAGCCCTTGAGGTTCTGCTGGAATGTATCCTCATTAAATTGCGCATACCCAAAGTATCACAGCCTGGATACAGCAGCGCTGTAGCTAAGAGCTGTGACCCCAGCCCCACAGTAACACTCACCAGTTGGTTGGATTGCTACAGTTGCAATCTCCACGCTCTTCTCCTGAATCTTCTGCCATGAGCTATCTGCCCCTCTCACCCACTCGCTCACAAGACACCTGTAAGCACCGGCATCCACTGATGAGGCCTGGGATACCAATAACTGATATGTGTCATTGGCTCCTGTGTCCAAGCGGATATCTCCATTATGGTAGCGCTCTTCATAGCCAGGACCTGGCTGGAATTTGGCCTCATGAGTCAAAGACAGGACGTCCCGCCAAGGCGATCCGCTTTTGATCTGCCAAGTCACATGCAGGTGAGTGTGCTCCGGGGAGGTGGTAATTGCTGAGCAGTGCAATTTGAAGGAGTCACCCTCAGACAGCCTGAGATTTTTTACCGCTCACCGATAAGCCATCGGAAATCACTATTTAAGAAGAAATAAAAAAAGACCAAAAGACACAAGCATCATAAAACATAAGCAAGAAGAGAATACCCACACTGACCTGTTCAGGTATGAGGCAGTAAAACTACCACAGAACAACACCCGACCAATCATTCCTTCTTCCACACATAAATATATTCCAGGAACAAGGAAATTAATCTGAAAATCCATTAAAGGAAGTGCTCCACTTTAAGCAAGCCAAGACAAGCATTCAAATTCATTTATCCTTCCCCTTGCTTTAGTTTCTCATCCAAATGTCATAATTCTGACTATTCACATTCAGAACCATAATGATTTTCATGGGAATAAAAGATAAGACACTTGAAAAAAATAGTCTCAAGTTATTACTCAAGAACCCTAAATGAGAAAGCAAAGCCAGGGCACGACTGCAGTATCAATGTGCTAAAGGGCAAAAAGAAGATTACCTCCTTCATATAGAAAGATCCCTAAATGCCAGTATGAATGAGAGAAGACAGGCTGTGGTTTTTACCTGAAGTTAGCCTCTCTATCCAGAGACTTAGGGACATCAAATATTTGCTGACATCTTCAGAAAACCCATAGCTTAGTTTTCCCATTTTTATTTACATATTTACCAGACAGAAAAAAAAGCAAAGTGGTGTTTATCGTAAACAGCCTCTCTTCCCTTCTTCACCTCACCAGCCTTTGCTATCATACTTCCCAATTTTCGATTTTGGCTTTAGGAGAATTAAACAGGAACAGGGAGAAGAAGAAAAAACAAATCACAATGCTCATAAGCAACAGAAACTCAACATTCTTAAGCATACATCTATAATCAATATCAAAAACAAATTTAGAGCACACCTCACTCTTCAGAAATACCTTTCACTTGGACCTCTGCATCATAATTTCCCTGAACAGTGGCATCAGTGCTGGGCGTGGAACACTTGTATCTCCCTTGGTCAGTTGGCTGGATGTTTCTAATCACAAGATCCACAGCATCGTTGCTGCTCCGTCTCAGTTTGATATCCCCGTGGCCCACACGTTTTCGGTACTCCTCAGAGGTGAATGTAGAATCCCAGGTACTCACTATCCGCACGAAGTCAGTCTCCCGGGAGAACTCCCAGTCAAAGTTCTGTTCACTGGGTCCATCGTAGTCACTAACGCTGCAAGGGATCACCACCTCTGTGCCAACAACTCGAATAAGAGGACCTTTGGGCACTCTGACAACACGACCTCTGCAGAAAGCTAGGCAGGAGAATAAAGAGAGAGAGAACACACAGTTAAAGGAATTACCAGGATAGGCTTCAACAAAACAAAATTAAAAAAAAAAATATGGTTGGACACCGCACTCCGCAGAAAGCTAGAACTAGTAAGAGCCATTTTTTCCATCAATATTTAATCTCACCAGAGCATGAGCCTCTAAACACACCATTTTTAGTGTGGGCAGTCTTTGTTTCATTGCTTACTTAGTAGCACATTAAGTAAGGAAATACTGAGGGGGGAAAAAAAAAAGAGAGAACTACTCACAGATCCAATAGGTAGCAGTTTCTCTACTACAAGACAAGTGCTATGTAAGACCCTTAGACAACATTAACAAGTGGGTTTCATTACTACAGCGAGGGCATAACCTAATCAGGCATTTTTACAGGTCTTCTGCTGATATCAGTAGAGGGTTCGAAGTAGAAAACTAACTCTCCCCCAGCTTGAGGGCCATAAGAATGGTAAGTTGACATTCTCCAGAAATAAGCATAGTCCCTTCTGCACTGAAGACTCATGGCTTCTCTAACACAGATGAGCTTCCTTCCCTTCCTAATTGTTTTAAATGGAAGAACAGACTTCAACAGACAGTTTACCTGAACAGAATTCTGCAACCACACCCATTTCTAGCACACATTTCCTCTTTGGAGGAAGTCCCAGAAGACAGGAGCACAAGCAAAGCTGGCTTCCTCCAGAGCAGAGGAACACACAGTGTTCAGACCATGTTTTCTGGGACTGTCTCACTAGAAGGACAGAACAAGAGCAGCTCCCTGCGGAAGGTTGGCAAGGCAGTATGTTATGCTCCAGGCGAAAGTGTGAACCACTTGAACCAGCCAGAGGACCTGGCAAAGACACAGCAGTAGACTTTTCTGGTTGATTTGGCTCTGCAGCCCAAAGAATAACCCCAGCACCTGCACACGGATTTTGGCAAGTTCTTACTTCCCAAAAGAGCAAACTGCTTTGATTCATAGTTCCAACCAGAGGAATCTTTTCAGGAAGACAGAGGTGCTACCTAAACTCAGTCTCCAATCATAACAGCCTACTGCATCCCATCAGCTCCATATCCATAGCAAAATATTTTAGCAGCAGGTAGAACAGGAGATGCCAGAACACTGAAGGACAGATCTTGTTTACACCAAGTAGATGGCTGTAACAACATCAAAAGCAGTTGGACCAAGAGGTCGATCTGAGATACCAAAGAGGCGAAGCCGAATTTAAACCAACAACCCCCCAACACACAAAGTCCAGCAACCCACAACTGCTCTAATTCACCAGCTACACTGAAAAATCCATCAGCTACTGACATGAACACCAATATACTTATCCCCTCCAGAGCAGCGTGGTGAAGGATGTGTTGAAGAATTAAGATTTCTGTGGGCATTTAAAAACTGCACAAGCAGCTGTACACATTGAGCATAACTACAAGAGAAAAAGCATAGTTTTATCCCCAGTTACAGTTCAGCAAACAGTTGAACCAAGGACTGGCACTGTCTTTACCTGGTTCATAACTCCCAGCATGCTCTTTGCTTTGCAGGCTGTTCACAGGTACTGGCTCAGTTTCCCCATTGCCATGACCTTCTGTATTCATCATTAGTACTTCATTAAACTTACTTGTAATGTGGACTGAGGTTAATCTCTTACCCCTTATATGCCTCCCAGAAGACAGTTATTATGTCGCTAATCAAGTGATTCACTAGTCCTAATAAGGAAGCTGGACTCCTCTGCACCATTCACACGTGAATCGGAGAGAAAAACCTCCACTGACAATGTACTGTTCCATAACCAGATGTCTTTAAGGACTTCTCTCTAAACACAAACACCATTGTAAAATCATTGATACAGAAAAATAACCAACAAAAATAAAGCAAGCTGCAGGGCTCTGATACACTTCCTCACTAGGTGTTAAATTGCAGTCCCATTCAATCCTTCAACTTATCCTCTTACAGAAAGCGGTCAAAGCAGCAGGTAAGCTTTAAAGTGCTGCCTGACAGCCAAGCCAGCTCTGGCAAACCACTGTTGGAAGTCAGCTCAGGATCCTGACTGAGGGCACTCCTCAAACGCTGATGTCTCTCTATAAAATACTCTCCTGTGACACTAAAACAAGCAGACAACACTGTTCTGCATGTGTCTTCAGCTGTAGTGCAGTGTAGCTGCACTGCACTAATCCAATCTAGAGGTGACAAAGGCATGACTAATGTGGCAAGGGCTGCACATTTGTGTTTGAGATTAGCACCGACAGCTTGGTTTCTCTTCTTCAAAAGTCACTAAAGACCCTTTGACACTAAATTAAGGTAGTGGGTGATTAGCACCTTCATATAGGAAGGCAGGCCAAAGGGAAAGATGCAGGCACAAGGACTCTGTTCAGAGTCCACACCCTATTGCTGTAAAGCAATGACTGACCATCTTTCACCTCATAGCACAGTCCCACAAGTAATTCCACCTTAACACAAAGTTGGAAGGAGGCAGTGGAACAGCCCACAGAAGAGAAGAGGGACAGCCTGTAACAGTTATAATTTTATACTTTACAAAGAATAACGTTTGTTATTGCTCAGGTAAATTAGGATTCCTGTACAGCAGGAGCACACAGAGACAGAATGAGAATTTACTGCACAGCATCTGCTGTGCCCTGCCCATAAGGAGGAGTGTGCACAGGGCAGACACTCCAAGGGGGAGCTGCATTTCTAGGTGACGCAGGAGGCTCAGTATCTAGCAAGCTGTGAACTCAAGGTTCTGCCTTTTGTCCTGCAGCAGTCACTAGCAAGACTGTCCCTAGCTACTAAACAAGGTGTTATGTTCTTCGCTGTGCATTAGGGATTGAGATTCCATGTAGCTGTAGCAGAAGGCAGAGAGCTACAGACACTCATCTTGGCAAGAGGTGAGCTCCATTTTATTCTGGCAGATAAATGAGGAGCTTTTACAAAATATTTTATTCTTGCAGTGCCCTATGTTACCTGCATACACACCCTTCACCTCCCAGAGCAACTGAAGTTCAGCTTTCATGATATGAGAGCTTCAAGCTCTAAAAATTTGTTGGAAAAATTTATTTTTCATGACACCTAGTATATTTCACTGTTAACACAAGGTGACCCGTTCTTAATGAATTCACTTGAATCCCATTTTAACTGTAGAAACAGATGGACCAGGACAGAAGTGTATACACTAGTGACAGAAAACAATAGAACTTTGACAATTCAGTATTTTTCAGTATCCCCGAGACCACCAAAGGTGTATTTAGTAGGAACTCAATAACTGGCTCTGTATCTTAAACTGCAATATCAGACATCAAACCTGCCTGAGCAGAAGATCAATTGCCTAAATGCAAAACTTTTTACAGAGGTACCAGATGACCAGATTAAATTGCAAGGTACTATTTTCCAAAACAAAAGGTAATGAAGCCCCTGTAAGAAGGTCAACACACAAACACAAGGGGTGGGACTTGTTCCTTGGGCTCATTAGACAGATGACAGGACTACCAGGCAACACTGGTGCTTTTGGAGGGCTGGGCCAGAAACACCCAAAAGGTAGGGCAATGACAGAGCCTTTATGGCTGTTTGTCAAGCACCTGACTAGAAGATTCCAGTACTAAAAGGAGGCCTACAGGCGAGATGGGGAGGCACTCTTTATTAGGGAGTGTAGTGACAGGACGAGGAACAACAGTTCTAAGCTGAAAGAGAGTAATTTAGATGAGATATGAGGAAGAAATTTTTTACCGTGAGGGTGGTGAGACACAGGAACAGGTTGCCCAGCTGCCGAAGCCCCATCCCTGGAGGTGTTCAAAGCCAGGCTAGAAGAGGCTTTGAGAAACCTGGTCTAGTGGACGGTGTCCCTGCCCATGGCAGGGGGGTTGGAACTAGATGATTTTTAAGGTCCCTTCCAACCCAAACCATTCTATGATTCTCCCAAGGGAATGCATGAAATACTCTGCCAGGAACACAGGCAAAGCATGGCTCAAGGTAGAATAATGAACTGGGGCCTGCTATATGAATAATACAGAGGCAAGATAGCCCAGACATAGCCAGACAGTTTTGAACTAATGCTCATTCCCTAGCAATGGTCCCTTAAGTACTTTAATTAATTTGTCACATCACCTAGATGCACCATCTCATTGGTGTCATTAAATGAAATCTTTCCAAAGAGAACAAGGAAAGCAAATGACTGAATAGTTAGGCTGTGAAGTCAATCTGAGTACATTAAATAGCAACCTGCCATTTGTAGGATAACCAAGAAAACAAGGCAAAAAAAATGTGTAGGATCTACAGAACAGGTGGTCTACTGAAGCTCTCAACAAGCTATACAACTCTTCAAGGAAAGGGCTGCTGAGGACTTCCTCTTGCATTAGGGACATTGCTATAGATGAGGAAAGTCTCCCAGGAGCTTAATCTTCACACAGGTTTTGCATCTACGTATCATTTATGAAAAAAACAAGATGAGAAGCCATCTATAGAGTCACCCACAGGGTTGAGAAGGTATTATCATTGCAAAGAACACGCTTCTGCTTCAGCACTCTCTTACAAAAGGTGCTTCCTTCCAGCCTGTGCTAGACAGCTCTATCTAATAACAAAACATGTTCTCTTAGCAGCTCAGAGAAGGAGGTCAACTCTCCACATCCACCAGCCAAAGGAAAATGCAATGTGACATGCAGTAGGAAGCCAATTAAAGCCAAAAAAGTAAGAGCTGAAGAATGAGTAAATTGGCTCAGACTAAGCACTCGAGCCTCTGCATCAGAAAGACTTAGAGCACACAGTCCAGCTCCTCAACCAAGGCAGTCACGGGAGACACAGCAACAACTTTGCTGATGCCTTTCATCTCAAAAGAGCTTTCTGAACAAAAGGTTGTTTCATTTGCCAACTAAACATTACCATGTCTGGGAAGGAAATACAGCAGCCCTTTCAAATTCACAACAGTTTATGACAGAAAAAAATAATGCAGCCAACTTTGCAAGGGGTGGCAAAGATTTTCCCTCCCTGAACTCCTCCATTTATTTTCAATATAGGCATCACTTTACTGCAGCACTGTGTAAATGAGGGGGTTGAGCAGGGACAACCGTTCTTGTGCCACACTGGAGAATAAGCAATGGATTCCCCTCCATTAACGCTGTGCACTCTGCCTCCTATTCTAGCAAAAACCCAAGTCTCCCATTCTGTGCTGCACTGCTTAACCACAGTGTTTGCAATGCACAAAGCCATTTTACAAAATGGAGGGGAGAAAAAAAAAATTTTGTTTTTGTATCTTTTTTTTGTCCCACCAAAGAGACATGTCCACACAAAACCTCTTCCTGCAATTTGAAAAAGAACTGATCAGGCTCCCCCTGGAAGGCATTCAGTGACTTTCCCTAGCGAGCAGGCAGGTGAAGGGACAAACAGCATGCCACACATTCACAGGCTCTTCTCTGAGGAAGGAGAACCAAAGCATATCAGCATGGGAGATTATAATCCTTATCTCCAATCTTCCCCTTTGCCCCTTGCCTCTCCTCCCAGCTCCAATTATGATCAGGCAGCTACACATCAATAATGTAATCTGCAACTAGCTGGGAGAGAAAGAACAAGTTATAACAAACATGCCTACAATGTTTGAAAACCTTTCAATGCTGTTAACACTTTTTTTTTTTTTTTAATATATAACATCCTTTTCCTAGAAGTGGCAAATTTAAACAAACAGCATGCTGCTTTGGGATTTCCCCCCCCCCTCCGTTTTAAATGCAGTCAATTAAATTTTCTATCCTACACTGTATATATATGAGAGGAAAAGTCAGAGAGATTAAGCAAAATAAAAGGAATTTCTTTAAGTACCAGAAATGCAGCTAACTACTGAAATGTCTTTATTGGTCTCAAAAAGAAAAGAAAAAAGAAATCTAAAGTGAGATCTCCTGCTTAACACACATCATCATACTCTTCTTTCCAGTGCAAACACACAGTAGGGGTTGGGATCTATGCTAAATAAAGTGGTAGGCTCTTGCTACTCTTCCCAAATCATAAAATTTAGATTGCCCTAATCAGCAGAAGCAACCTGCACCTTAAAACCAGTCAGCCTGCACAGGGAGGGAATGCCGGGCTCCTTTAAAAGAGACCAAATTTGATTCCTTATGTCAAAGCTGTAATCACCATAGTAGCCCAGAATCATCTGAAGCATGCAGGGCTCCCTCCATACCTTGCAAGCCCACAGTACTGTTACACTTCCCCGACTGCAATACTCCCTACCTAAAAAAAGACTGATAGATTTTTATGGTTTGAAAGATCTGCAGCATACCATCTGAAGATAGCGGAGAAGAGCGAATAAAAGAGTCCATGAGAGAGACATTTACATTGTTCTTTCCCAGGCGGCTAGGATTCTTTTTTTAGATAATATGGAGCTCTTATCAAAAGGAATTAGCCTGGGTGTAATTGCTTAAAACCCATTATCTCTATCAGGATGAAGAAACGCATACTGTATCTTAAGTGAAGCCTCAGAAATGCTATCAAACTGCAAGCCTGCTGGATTGCTCTAATCTCCATGCCATCTGAGATATCTCAGCAAAACCACATCTCCAGCACTGTGTGAAAAAAACAAGTACCTTACCAGTTGCACTC